AGGAGGACAGAGATTATCAGATCTACTTATATTCTCCATTATAAGTATAAGGAATGCTGTACTGGTTCAAATTGGTCTATCCTTACCTACTGGTAAAAATCTTAAAGGAACTCACTATATTGGAGAAAATAAGATATTCATGTAAATTAAGGGAACAGTTATGACCTGGATTTTTTTTACACTTGCTTTATTCAAGCAATGTTTTAAGTTAATTAACAAAGCCATAACTGAATTCACTAAAGCCACAATGATTGACTAATGTTTTCTTTTGATTTTTCATGCATTCATTCTCAAAAGGCATAATTCAGATTGCTCTGTTGCTGTATAAAAGTTGCACAAATGATTTATGAATGAACTTTTGTAGTGAAAAATAAAATATGCAGATTGCTCTGTTGCTGTATAAAAGTTGTACAAATGATTTATGAATGACCTTTTGTAGTGAAAACTAAAATATATCAAGATATTTCCTACATTTATAAAATTAGCTTCTAATTCTCTGGCAAAAAATTGTGTACAAAAAGAAAGCTTAGCTAATAGTTTGTCATCTTATGCAGACATGACACTTATTTAGAAAGAAATAAAAGTAATTTGGAGAGGAAAAGTTTTATATTACCATGGAACACCACCCTGGTAGTCCAAAGCACTGATTCATTATTTTCTTGTACAGAACCTTAACTATAGTAACATTAATTTCAGTGCACTGTTAAGTTCACTGCACTTGCAAGGCTACATTATTTGCCTGTTAGTTTCAAGCTGGAGTTTAAGGTAATCCTGTAATGCCACAAATAGTGTGGGACTTGCCTACCTAAGAAACACACACACACTCACTCTCTCTCTCCATGCTATATACTGCTTCAGTTTTGATCAGCAGAATTGCTCGTGCACTGGTTTATATGGGAGAGGACAGCTGGTAGGGTGATCTCTAATCGGGGTCATAGACTCTGGAATTGACTTTTGTCCTTCAGAGCTCAGATTTGTTAATGTTCCAGATACATTGGAAGGTTCATCTTCTTCCTGGGAATCTGGGGAGACAGACTTGAAAACCATAGCTGGAGTATGATATTGAGTTGTTATAGTGCATGGTCATTTGGAGTATGATATTGAGTTGTTATAGTGCACGGTCATTATAGTGTAAGGTAAAAATTATACTGGTGAGAGATTAAATTAGTAACTCAGTTTTAGTGGCCTAATTTTTGGAGCTGTGAACATGCACAGCGCAAATAAAATAGGCACCTAAAATAAAAAATATTGAAGAGGGAAAGTTCTGCAAAACTCTGTAAGATGTACTTGCTTCTGTTTATGGGTCACAGGATAATGCCCTGAATTCAAAATTGCTATTTTTAAATATTAGTTTTAATTGTTCTATTATACATTTGTTTCCAGATACCTGATAAGAATCTCATACTTCAGATGCATCTGGTGCAGATAGGTGAAGCTGGTCTAGATAAACTTAGGTTTACATACTGCATGCTCTAGACAGATTGTTGTATGTTCTCTAATGCTTCATTTTATTCAGCTGTTGGGGAAATTATGCCTGATCTTAAACTTATGAGACTAGCTCCTAAGAATGCTGATAGCATGCATGGTCCATTAGCATCACTCACTATATCCACTCATGAAAACATTCAGCTTCATAGCTAACTCCAGTTTAAGGGGCTTCATGTACATTACATATAGAGTCAAACATGTCCAAATCCTCAGCCCACAAGCAGGCTGTTTTGAAAGTTCTTTAAAAAGTGGCCTAATTATTTTCAAGATGGAGGGCAATGACATCTTCATAGAAAAATGGCTATGTGGAGTGGAGTGAGGGGTACAGTGTTGACAAGAGCAAGGGACTGGGAGTCAGGAATCCAGGATGTTAGTCCCAAATCAGCCAGTGACTCCCTTTTGACAAGAGCAAGGGACTGGGAGTCAGGAATCCAGGATGCTAGTCCCAAATCAGCCAGTGACTCCATCACCTTGTGCTAATCCATTAACTTCCCCATGCTTCTGTTAATCTATCTGTAAAAGGGGGATAATGTTTCTTACCTCTATCATCAGCATTAGCTATACCATAAAAAATTCCATTAGTTTGGAGGGAGGGCTGCTTGAGAATATGCTGCTACAGAGTCTGCACTCCTTCCAGACCAGGATTCAGTGGAACAGAAAGGAAAAAAAATGGCTCTAAAACACTATTTTCATTATTCATTCATGCATCAGTAGCCCTTTATATGCCCAGTCCTCTTTTGTATATTTACTGTGCACTGGTTTCTTCACTGGTCCAGAAATGCATTTTCCTCTATCCCTTCATCACTCCATACAATAGTAAAGAATAGTTTTAGATGTTTTTGCAAACAACAAATCACCACATATTAGTGGAATACACATGCTGTATAGAACATAATCAACATTTGAATTAATGTTCCTCTGACTAATATCCAGAGTAAAATTAGACTTTCTTATTTTAAATGACAGGATTCAGAATATTGACAAAATGGTTCATCATTCTAAAGTCACCTGCTTTGAATTAGTATCCGGAAATTAAGTGGAATTTTTGCATCACCAGTATTTTGCAGTGTAGCTCACTGTTTTGAGTTCTAAGAAAGCAGTTGTAATTTTTTCTCTGTTCTTATTCTGGTGTGTTTAAAAATATTTTTAGCTTTGCTATTTTTGGTTACTGTGCACATGGACCATGTCAGGAAAGCTTAAATGTAGTTGGTTAGAAGCTCCAAAAAAGAAATGAACACACACCCTTCCTCTGTGTCAGAGAGAATCTATTCTCTTATAAATGCCTTCTTTTTGCAACAGGACTTTAAAAGAAGGATTCAAAATACTTTGAAAGATAATTGATTTTAAGTAGTTAAAAAGACGAGCAAGGAAAAGTAAGCATGTCAAGGCTGTCAAGCTGTCACTGTGTGAATGAGGCAGATATCAACAAATTATGAGTGAAATTATAAATACCTCAAAATCCAGCTGGCAAAAGCCTTTAAGATCTGCTTTTTTCAAGATGGAGGGCAATGACATCTTCATAGAAAAATGGCTATGTGGAGTGGAGTGAGGGGTACAGTGTTGACAAGAGCAAGGGACTGGGAGTCAGGAATCCAGGATGTTAGTCCCAAATCAGCCAGTGACTCCCTTCATCACCTTGTGCTAATCCATTAACTTCCCCATGCTTCTGTTAATCTATCTGTAAAAGGGGGATAATGTTTCTTACCTCTATCATCAGCATTAGCTATACCATAAAAAATTCCATTAGTTTGGAGGGAGGGCTGCTTGAGAATATGCTGCTACAGAGTCTGCACTCCTTCCAGACCAGGATTCAGTGGAACAGAAAGGAAAAAAAATGGCTCTAAAACACTATTTTCATTATTCATTCATGCATCAGTAGCCCTTTATATGCCCAGTCCTCTTTTGTATATTTACTGTGCACTGGTTTCTTCACTGGTCCAGAAATGCATTTTCCTCTATCCCTTCATCACTCCATACAATAGTAAAGAATAGTTTTAGATGTTTTTGCAAACAACAAATCACCACATATTAGTGGAATACACATGCTGTATAGAACATAATCAACATTTGAATTAATGTTCCTCTGACTAATATCCAGAGTAAAATTAGACTTTCTTATTTTGAATGACAGGATTCAGAATATTGACAAAATGGTTCATCATTCTAAAGTCACCTGCTTTGAATTAGTATCCGGAAATTAAGTGGAATTTTTGCATCACCAGTATTTTGCAGTGTAGCTCACTGTTTTGAGTTCTAAGAAAGCAGTTGTAATTTTTTCTCTGTTCTTATTCTGGTGTGTTTAAAAATATTTTTAGCTTTGCTATTTTTGGTTACTGTGCACATGGACCATGTCAGGAAAGCTTAAATGTAGTTGGTTAGAAGCTCCAAAAAAGAAATGAACACACACCCTTCCTCTGTGTCAGAGAGAATCTATTCTCTTATAAATGCCTTCTTTTTGCAACAGGACTTTAAAAGAAGGATTCAAAATACTTTGAAAGATAATTGATTTTAAGTAGTTAAAAAGACGAGCAAGGAAAAGTAAGCATGTCAAGGCTGTCAAGCTGTCACTGTGTGAATGAGGCAGATATCAACAAATTATGAGTGAAATTATAAATACCTCAAAATCCAGCTGGCAAAAGCCTTTAAGATCTGCTTTAAAATTAACCCCAAATCCAGAATTCTTGCTCTAAAGGCATCTTTTAATCTAAAGGAGCCTGATGTGTTCCATGTGTAAGCTCTGGGTGAGTCTACACAGCATCCTAAACTAGAAATAAGATATGCCATTTGTGCTACACACATTGCATAGCTTATTTTGTTTGAATTTAGAAATAGGCTCTTTTGAAATTTGGCACGTCCACATAGCATGTTATATTTTCAGACATCCCTTAATCATTAGCGTGCCTGGTATGTAGAAAAATAGCTTGAAAAAAGTTTAGTTTGAAATAACAGGTGGCTTGTTGAGACCTGGGGTAGATCTCCAGTCTCCCAGACTAGCCATGCAGTGTAGACCTACCCAAGCTGAACCCCCCTTGCAGGCACAAGGCTGGATGCTGCCCTCCCTTGCTCCCCAGTGGCTAGGGAATACCTGCTAGCGGAAGGGTGGGAGAGGAGACTGAAGCCCAGCCGGGCAGGAGCTGGCCCCGGGCGGGTCAGGAGTTCCCACGCGTGGCGCTCTGCTGGGAGCTGCAAGCCCGGCTGAACGCGCGCCGGGTGCGAGGCGCTGGCGAGCTGAGTTGGCCTTAGCGCGCCGCTTTTCACTCAGGCTGGAAGCCCCTCGCCCGGCGCCACGCGGGGGGGGGTGCAAAGCCAGGGGCGAGCAGCGCGGCTAGACAAGGGAGCAGCCCCCCGGCTAGTGCCCAGCACTGCAGCCGGCGCCGCTCCCCCCCCAGCGAGGCTCCGTCCCTCCCCGCGTTGCTGCAGCGCCCCGCGCTCGCTCGCTCGCCTGCTGCTCTCCCGGGGCGGGGGCCTCCTTTCCCTCCCCGCTGTGGCAGCCAATCTGCGCCGCAGCGGAGCAATGCAGCCCGGCCTCCCGCCCGCCCCGCGCAGGCATTGGTATGCCCGGCCGCGCCGCTGGCGGAGCAGGGCTGGGGAGGGGGCTTCCCCGGGCTCCCGCCTTCCCGGCCCGGCCGCTGCTAGCGGACTCGCCCCGAGCAAGGGCTGCGGAGTGTCCCGCTCCCGGACCGGCCAGGGGAGGCTATGCGAGCCGCCCGGGCGCCCCAGCCATGTGGTGCCTGCACTGTCACTCGGAGAGGACTCAGTCCCTGCTGGAGCTGGAGCTGGACAGCTGGTGAGCCACTGCGCGCAGCCGGGAAAGCGGCTCGGCTGGGGGGGCAGCGAGAAGCAGCCGCCTCTCTCCTGTGGAATAGCGATAGAAATGGAGCCGTGTTAGTCTGGGGCAGCTGAAGCAAAATGCAGGACAATGTAGCACTGTAAAGACTAACAAGATGGTTTATTAGATGATGAGCTTTCGTGGGCCAGACCCACTTCCTCAGATCAAATAGTGGAAGAAAATAGTCACAACCATATATACCAAAGGATACAATTAAAAAAATTAACACATTTGAAAAGGACAAATCACATTGCAGAACAGGAGGGGGATGGGGGGGGAGGAAGGAAGGTAAGTGTCTGTGAATTGATGATATTAGAGGTAGGGAGAGGGGGATGTTTGTGAGTTAATGGTATTAGAGGTGATAATTGGGGAAACTGTCTTGGTAATGGGTGAGAGAGTTCAAATGTTTAAGTCCTTGTTGGCAAGTGTCGAAGAGAGGGAGAGAGAAGTGGCGCTCGCGCTGCTGATGTGTCAGGAATGGATTTCAACCACCGCCACACAGTGCGCGCTTCCCAACCCCCAGGATTTCTATCGCGCTTTCCGAAGCCCACTGTGTGTAATGCTGTGCCTCTGCTCCGAGCCCTGCCGGCACCGTTAAAGACATCGCACCGTGTAACATCATCTGTGTTAAAGTTTTCAATGATTGCAAATGTATGCCAATCACAGTCAACTGTAGCTTTGTAGTGGACGCCCTTGTGTTTTTCTGGAGCTCTTCTAGTTGAATTTCATAGTACACCTCCTTAAGTCTGCGGGAAGATGCAATTACAATGTTATTTGCCTTTTCTAGATATAAACCTAGATTAACAGCATAGCCATTTTGATATGGGATCAACATTTATTAACTTTTAAACGTATTGCTGCATATTAGTGATAGTAGGTACTGCTATTTGTATCCTTCCACTTACAAAGCAAGCTGATATCGTTTGCCCAGGCATTCTCTCTCTCGCACACACACAGGCACTCACACTCTTTTTCACGCTCACACACACACACAACCGCTGTGCTCTCCCTTTTCTAATCTCTGACATTGCTGATGTTTCTGATACTGTTATTAAGTAACTAAAAGGTTTCATTCTCTTTGCCTAAATAGGTGGTTTAACAAATTCTAGCATTTTATGTGTGGAGTGGGATTCCAATCATTTTAGTCATCTTTGTACTGGTATCATTTTAGCTTTCACTGGAGAGATCCAAAGTTTCAATTTCAGTACAGTAGACACAGCTAACTTGATGAAATATGGATTTGAGACAGGGTGCGAGGATGACTTTTGATTGCGAGGCGGGGCAGGGAGAGGTTGCCTCAGAATTCTGATTTGAGAAGAAATTACACCAGCAAAGGACAACCTAGGCTAATGAGTGGGCCACATGATTGTCCTAACCAAGACGATCTCCCAGGATATGGTAGCTTTACTTAATTGCTGGCTCTGCCATTTCAACTGTAGCAGTGCTTTGAGTGGATTTAAAGAGAGCACACGGCTCTCACAGTCAGGGTTTTGTGCACTCACCATGTACATCCCTTCTCATGCCCTTGCTTTACATGCATGTCAATTCAGTAATACCAGTAGAAAAAAACTACATAGACGGAAACTAGCGGAATCTGGCAACCCTGGCATGGGCAAAGGTAAACATAGAAATGTGCAGGCCACATACAGAAACCCAACAGGCCACAGGTTGCCCCCTGCTTAGTTACACATCCCCAGCCCTGTCTGATACACTTAATTGATAACATCAAGAGCAATTGAATTAAATGTACACTGCTCAGATGAGAAAATCAAAAAGCTCAAGTACTCCTCCTCATTTGAGAAGTGCAGCTATCCAGCCTAACTGTACCTCTTGATTTGTTTTTCCTATTATAAATCTGTACTGAAACATTTTCTAACAGCTGGCTAACGATGGTATCTACTGGTAAGCCTCTCCATCACTAAGTCAGTCCTCCTTTGCTGAAAAAAAATATCATGTTTAATTTTAACTAGCTTAGTGTTTTTCTGCATCGTGAGTTACATGTGCCTTGGCCATAAGGTAGTTCTGGTCTATTTGAGAGATTTCTCTGGGCCTTAAGATAGATTCATATTTTGTAGAATGAAAACTTTTGAACTGATTTTTTTTGTTCATTTTCTATTCATTGTAGGTACAAAAGAAACTCTTCTGTATGTGAAGTAAGGTGCTATTATCTTTGCCTGAAACAACAACTTAAAATAAATAATTTTTTTTAAAACCAGTTTGCCCCCATTTATCTGGGTGGCTTGTCAGCTCTGAAGTTTAAAGATGACACTTCCAAGAGTAGATTTTCTTATGGCAAAAGTTACACAGTTGTGTGGCTAACTTAGACAAACAGTTCCTGCAGATGTGCTTGCAAACTGGTTAATTGTCCATGACCAAACCAAAAAATGTAAAAATAGCTGTTATTCTGAAGGTGGACCTGCATCACATAGCTTACTGACTGCTGGAACAGTAATTAAAAGTTCAGACCAACATTTTTAGAGGTGACCTCAGATTTTGAGCGTTGCAGATTTGGAGTGTCCAAGTTGTGAGTTCGGCTTTTCAAAAATATTGAGTCCCTACATTTCCAATTGGCTCCAGTTAAAACTGGGGGGCTGTGTCTAGACTGGCAAGTTTTTCCGCAAAATCATCTGATTTTGTGGAAAAACTTGCCAGCTGTCTACACTGGCCATTTGAATTTCTGCAAGAACACTGACGATCTCATGTAAGATCGTCAGTGTTCTTGTGGAAATACTGTGCTGCTCCCGTTCGGGCAAAAGCCCTCTTGCGCAAATCATTTGCGTAAGAGGGCCAGTGTAAACAGCACAGTACTGTTTTCCGCAAAAAATCCCCGATCGCGAAAATGGCAATCGGGGCTTTTTTGCTGAAAACCGCGTCTAGATTGGCCACGGATGCTTTTCCGCAAAAAGTGCTTTTGCGGAAAAGCATCCTGCCAATCTAGACGTGCTTTTCCGAAAATACTTTTAACAGAAAACTTTTCCGTCAAAAGCATTTTCGGAAAATCATGCCAGTGTAGACGTAGCCGGGATGTACAGCAGCTCTGAAACTGCAGGCTCCATGTGTCTCAAGTTGAGCATTCAGAAACAGAGGCACTAAAAATCAGAAGTCATGAAAAATCTTGCCCGATTCTCTACATTAGTATCATATTCTGTCTTGATGCAAAGCTCCAGTTGACATCAGCGGAAGATCTGCTATGAATCAATCGTAATATATGGCCCTATCTGTGTACTCCAGCCCCTGGGGCATAATTAAAAATGTAATTCAGCCCTCATCACAGGACTGGTTTTTGGGAAATGGTGAAATAGTGATGATCGTATGACTATATTGCCAAGCATCCAGCAGGGCCAGACAGAGGATCAGGCTACCTCTGACTTAATTGTCCCATTCCCCTGTGCCTCCAAGTTTCACTCAGAATCTCTTGTCTCTTGACATCCCCTTTTGTCTGCTTCTAAGGTGTGCAGAAATACAGACTCCAGTTTCTTATCAATTCCCCCTCCCCTGCTCCCACTCGTTCCTGGCCAACTGCATGCAAACAAGGGGGCACACCCTGAAAAAAACCATAATTAGTTATTCTAAGAACACTACACGTGGATCTGCACAAAGCTTGGCAGCTGTGACTGCACATTGCAAGAATTCATTCCCGTTTACGAGAGGACTTTATCCAGCAATGTACATTTGTTGTACATAAAAACAGACATTGTGGTGACATTTTCAGAATTGTTTGATTTTGGCCCAACTTTGCTTCCATTGAGGTCAGTATGAGTTTTATCATTGACCTCATTGAGAGCAGAGGGCACTTCTGAAAATCCCACTCTAGATTGACAACGATTGTGCTGCCGCTGTTGCTATGTAATATTTTAACTACAGTTGATTCAAGAAACCCTAATCAAGATGGGGCTTTCACTGTACTAGTTATGTATTAAACACACACGAAGATATATCTCGCTATCGCGTAGAGTTTATAGTCTATTAATAGTTATCGTGGTCAGGGGAATTCTACTGAGAGATGTAATTTTTCAGCTTCATAATTTTAATAGTGCAGCATTCTGTACTTGAGGTTTTTTTTATACTGGAATTGACTATGGACCAAGGGTCAAATTTTATTCTCGGTTTCACCCATGAATTTCTGTCGTCTAATAGATTGCATAAGTGTGAAAGAGAGATCTGGCCCAGAATTTGAATGTTCATTTTCAGCATTATGAATGTTGTCACCTTATGTCAGAGGTTGATTAAATACATTTTGTATTTAATTTATATGACTTGGCTTTGCAAAGATAATTACTGATCATTAGGTTCTCATGACATGTGTAAACAGAAAACATTTTAATCACATACACATATCACTTCTTATGTCATGCCAGAGTATGTCATGATTTTGTGAAGTGGACACTTGTAATTAGGGTCTAGATGGAGACTGCAGATTTATTTCATTGTGATACAATTATTTGATTCTATTGGTAAGAGACGAGAGACTGGTACTTGAATCCGCTATACCACAAAACACCAAGATAGCTTCATTTTAATGCTAACGGTGACCTGCAGTTGACAGCAATAGTTTTTGCCCTCTTTTGATTCCTTAAGATGGACAAAGGAAGCCTGGAATTTTCTAATTTTTAAAGGTTTTTTTTTTTCAGATTTGTTTTTTTACCTCTACCAAGGTCAACTTTTGTCTTCTGTTGGTGCTGGTGAAGGGAATTAGTATGAGAGCTTTCACAGCCCTCAACACAAGAGGGATATTGTAGATCTTACAATCTGTTTTTATTTTGTTTTCGTTAATACCTGTTTAACTCAAATGCCTTCCCAAAGGGTCTACTTCTCTGTTGTCCTGCAAAGTGTGTAACCATTTGGACAGTGAAAAGCAGATGTAAAATGCTGCTCTTCTGATGTGGTATAACTTTACACTTACCTTGCACTGGTATAAATGATTATACATTTTGCAGAGCAGAGGAAAATCAGGCTCA